CCCCCACCTTGACGGCCAGGCAGCCCCCCTCCCCCCGCCCCCCCTCCAGGCAGGCATTCCGGGGGCGCCCGTGAATCCCGATGACCTGCTGGGATGCCAGTGCCGAGCCGCAGAGAGCGGAGCTGCCTGCCGGCCCGCCTCCCTCCCTCCTTGCCCCTCTGCCTGGCTTTCCCTCCCTTTCGCTCCTCTTCCCCCGTCTCTCTCTCCCCCCCCTCCCCGCTCTCTTCCCGCGCAGGGCTGGGGCTGGCTCGGATGGCCCCCCGAGCGGGAAGGAGGCGACTCCCCTCTTGGCAGCAGTAATGTGTGCCTTCTATTTGCCGTTGCAGAGCAACATCTTCGGCGGTCTGGACGAGAGCCTGCTGGCCCGCGCCGAAGCCCTGGCGGCGGTGGACATCGTCTCCCCCGGCAAGAGCCACCACCACCACCACCCGCCCCACCACAGCCCCTTCAAGCCGGACGCCACCTACCACACCATGAACACCATCCCCTGCACCTCGGCCGCCTCCTCCTCCTCGGTGCCCATCTCGCACCCGTCCGCCCTCTCCGGCACCCACCACCACCACCACCATCACCACCACCACCACCAGCCTCACCAGGCGCTGGAGGGGGAGCTCTTGGACCACATCACCCCGGGGCTGGCGCTGGGGGCCATGACGGGCCCCGACGGCTCTGTGGTCTCCACGCCCGGCCACGCTCCCCACATGGCCAGCATGAACCCGATGCACCAGGCGGCCCTCAGCATGGCCCACGCCCACGGGCTGCCTTCGCACATGGGCTGCATGAGCGACGTGGACGCGGACCCGCGCGACTTGGAAGCCTTTGCCGAGCGGGTCAGGCAGAGAAGGATCAAGCTAGGGGTGACCCAAGCGGACGTGGGATCTGCCCTGGCCAACCTCAAGATCCCCGGAGTGGGATCCCTAAGCCAAAGCACGATCTGCAGATTCGAATCGCTCACTTTGTCCCACAACAACATGATCGCCCTCAAGCCCATTTTACAAGCGTGGCTGGAAGAGGCGGAGAAATCACACCGGGAGAAGCTCACCAAGCCGGAGCTCTTCAACGGGGCGGAGAAGAAAAGGAAACGCACCTCCATCGCGGCTCCCGAAAAGAGGTCCCTAGAAGCCTATTTCGCCATCCAGCCGCGTCCTTCCTCAGAAAAAATAGCGGCCATCGCGGAGAAACTGGACCTCAAGAAGAACGTGGTCCGGGTCTGGTTCTGTAACCAGAGACAGAAACAGAAACGGATGAAATATTCCGCTGGGATTTAAAGCCTTTGGGGGATCTCCCTGTCTGCCGGAGAGCAAACACACACCTGAAACGAAAACAGTTAACAAGACGTTTCTCTTTCGGGGAGAGAAGAAAGAACAACATTCAAAAAGACATTCGGACTTGAGATATATTCGCAAACTGTGAATGGAGAAGTAAAGCGTCAAGTTTAAGAAAGCTGGCCACCCAGAGACTGGTTTTGTGAAGGCAGATAAGAAACCTTTATAGCGGACGGAAGACGTACCAAGTAAGAGTTGTTTTTATTCTTAAAGACATCACCTTTATTCAGATGTAAGAGTACACTTTGCAGCTATTTTTCAGAAAAGAAAACATAAAACTGACTAGTGACTGAAACTTTGACCTATAGTTGAATACCATAAGAGAGGCATCTCAAAAATATTTTGGTTTTTTTAAGAAATAAAAAGATGGCAGGTTTTCTGCGATTACACTGCATATTATAAATCTATATATATATATCTATATTTTTACTGTGGTTATTA